ACGCCTGTAATCACAGCACTTTGGGAGGCTGAGGAGGGAGAATTGCTTGAACCCAAGAGTTTGAGACCAGCCTAGGCAACATAGCAAGGCCTTGTCTCTACAAAAATTTTTTTAAAATTAGCCAGGCATGGTGGCACACACTTGTAGTCCTGTCTACTTGGGCGGCTGAGGTGGAACGATCACCTGAGCCCAGGAGGTTGAGGCTGTGATGAGCCAAGATCATGCCACTGTACTCGAGCTTGGACAACAGAGTGAGATGCTGAATCCACCCCCTGCCAAAGAAAACAAAACAAAACAAAAAAACCAAGCACATTAAATGACAGGGCCCAAAGAAATCCACAAGAACTTAGGAACACTGAGAATATTAAACTTGTTTTTTGTGTGTGTGTTGAAGGCTCACTCTTGTCACCCAGGCTGGAGGAGTGCAGTGGCACGCTCACAGCCATCGCAACCTTGACCTGCTGGGCTCAGGCAATCCTTCCGCCTCAGCCTTCCAAGTAGCTGGAACTACAGACACATGCCACCACACCCAGCTAGTTTTTGTGATGTTTTTTATAGAGATGAGGTCTCACCAAGTTGCCTGAGCTGGTCTTGAACCCCTGGACTCAGGCAATCCTCTCGCCTTGGCCTCCCAAAGTACTGGGATTTCAGGCTGAGCCACCGCACTCAGCCAATATTAAATTTTTACCTTACTTCTTAAGTGCCTGTTAAACATAAGATGTCACACCTCTAAGCAGACAAAGAAGCCTGCTGAGCCAGTAGCTGACACTCTCAAACCACAAGACAAATGATTTGGCAGCTCTTGAGTGTTCATGGGGCTGTCTCCTCACCAGGCAACAGGTGTATATACTGAAGATATCTTTAGCTTCTAGTATAATTTTTCTTTCTTTCTTTTTTTTCTTTGAGTTGGAGTCTCACTCTGTCACCCAGACTGGATTGCAGTGGCACGCTTCCGGCTACCACAGCCTCAACCTGCTGGGCTCCGGTGATCTTCCGCCTCAGCCTTCCAAGTAGCTGGAACTACAGGAGCATGCTACTGCGCCCGGCTGATATTTTGATTTATTGTAGAGATGAGGTCTCTCCAAGTTGCCCAGGCGGGTCTCAAACCCACGGGTTCAGGCAATTCACTCACCTCGGCCTCCCAAAGCGCGGGATTACAGGCTGAGCCACTGAGCCAAGCCTATAATTTTTCAATTCAGTTTTTGTTTTTTTGGTTTTTTTTTGAGTCAAGGTCTCACTCTGTCACTCAGGCTGGAGTGCAGTGGCATAATCACAGCTCACTGAAATCTCAACCTCCTGGGCTCGGGTGATCCTTCCACCTTAGTTTCCAGAGTAACTAGGACTACAGGCGGGTGCCACCATACCTGGCTACATTAAAAAATTTTTTTGTAGAGATGAGGTCTCAAACTCCTGGGCTCAAGCAGTCCTTCTACCTTGGCTTCCCAAAGTGCTGGGGTTACAGGCCTGAGCTACTGCGCCTGGCTCAATTAAATTTTTGAAACAAGTAATGCATTATTTAAAAAATCAGTAAGTATAAAAGCTAAAGTGAAAACTCCTTATCCTATCTCATCATTTTCTCATTCCCTTCCATGGTAATCACTGTTATTAGTTTTTTGTGTATCTTCTCAAGGTTTTTGGTTTTGTTTTTGAGTTGGAGTCTCACCCTGTTGCCCAGACTAGAGTGCAGTGGCTACTCCCAGCCACCGCAGCCTCAACCCGCTGGGTTCTGGCGATCCTTCCGCCTCAGCCTTCCGAGTAGCTGGAACTACAGGCGCGCGCTACCACGCTCAGCTAATTTTGGATTTATTGTAGAGATGAGGTCTTGCCAAGTTGTCTGGGCTGGTCTCAAACCCACAGGTTCAGGCAATCCACTTACCTCGGCCTTCCAAAGTGCTGGGATTACAGGCTGAGCCACCGAGCCCAACCTCCCCTTTCTTTCTACATGGATTGTAATAGATGCTAGCATCTATTACTAGTGTTCCACACCTTGCTTTTCCCCATTTGCCTTTGTACCTTGGAGACTTTCCTTGCTTGCTCTTTATGGGTGTGTGATATTCCCTGAACCTTAAGTTCAACAACCAAATACTAATCAACCCTATTGATTAGTATTTAGGTTGTTTCCAATCCTTTGTTATTACAAACCACACTCAATTATATAACATTATATGAAGTGGGACCAAACAAAACAAAACTGGAATTATCTTTTGGAGGGCGGGACCCTTGTAGTGCAGACTTCCTTGCTAGGGTAAGTATTCTAGGAACCCATCAGCATCAGTGTGCTAGCTAGCATAGTAGTTAGAGGTTGCGTTCAGTTTGTGAATTTTTTTTGGAGATTCTTTCAATGCATTTGCCCACACTGCACAGAGTGTTCAGCAGTCTTTGATCAAAACCAGCATGACCCCTGGGCTTCATCCCGCCATTTTACCCCATCACGCCCTGAGCAACTTTTTTTTTGATGAAAAAAGTTCTTGAAAGAAAATGTTTTGCTGATGTGGAAGAGGTGAAACAAAAAATGATAGAAGCACTAAAAGACATCCAAATAGAAGAGTTCAAAAACTGTTTTGAGCTGTGGAAAAGTGTCTCGATAGGAGTATTGCATCAAACAGAGTATCTTGAAGGTGACTGAAGTTTAAACTTGTAAGAAGAAATACACAGTTTTTAATCAATAAAATCTGTTTTTTGGGGGGTCCTCCCTCATATGGATGTCACTGCTCATACATACAAGTGTATCTGTAGGATACATGTCTAGAACAGAAATTTCTGGGTCAAAGTGGAAATTTTGATAGATAAGTTCAAATTTCCCTTGATAGAAGTTTTACCAATGTATATTCCCACCAACCATTCCCCTGCCTCCCTCAGCCTCAACAGCAGAGTAGGTTATGAGACTTCCAGAATTTGATCAACTCATAGGTGAAGGGTGGCATGCCAGCCGAATTTTAATTTGTGTTTCACAAGTGTGGTTGCATAGTTGTGTAAGAGCCACTTGGATTTGTATTTTTGAACTTTTTCATCTAGATGAAGTATCCTTAAAGTCTAAACTCAGAGCTTTGTACATGCCTTGCAAAGTCCTTGGAATCTTTGAGAAAATATATACCTTTATTTTAAAAATAGTTTTTGGCATTCTTTGAAAATAAAAGAAGTGTCATCTACAAGTCACCGCTGAACAATGTGAAAACACTGTGGGTATTCTGAAAGAAACTTTTGGCAAATACAACAGAATCTGAAAAGACTAGAATCAGGTCCCCAGAAGTTCATGACACTGTTTAAAACAACCTGGGTGAGGTTAAAACAGACTCATCAAAGTCTTCGTAAATTTGACATTATTTTGATTTCTGTAATAAATATTTTCCCCATGGAATCCATCTGTATCTCTCCCCGAAATAGCACCTGAGCACTTCTCTTGTCTTGAAAAGAATACAAAGAGTGCTTTAAGTACATAAGTGCTCTAAAGCAATCCTTCCTGTGTCCCAAATATCCCCTTGTAGTGTGGATCCTTTTCCTAATGGTCCCCAAATGACCACCACTACATGCATTTGGGAATTAGATAAGAGGCAGAGCTTTTCCTCCCACACACAGATGGTAACTTTGCCAAGAGGGGCATAGGTTGTAGGGGGCTCAGCGGTGGCCACACCTGAGGTGCAAGCCACCACTTATTTAAAATAATAACTAGAGTTTTTTTTGTTTTCAACCTTAAGGCGTTGTTTGACTTATGGGCCTCAATAATCAGCCAATAGCTATCCCCTAACTACTTGATCCTCAGGCAAGGCCCAACCTGAGGCTTTTCTGGTGGGCCCTGTTGAGGGCCCTAACATAGTGCAACAGGGTCCTCAGGTAAAGAGGCCTTGGTGAGCAGCTGCTAGCACCCGGGTTTCAGCATTTGTTGGTTGAGACAGCAGTGTTCCTGACAAGCACGGCTGTTTTCTTCCCCACCCTTCCTCACCCAGCCCAGCCTGGGAATCCACCTCGGAAACTGGCCCAGCTGGTGTGGCCTCTAATGAGTGGTTGGGTCATGAGGAGGAGGACTGGGACTGGGAGGGAGGTGGGAGTCCCCAGGGGTTAATTTGCCCACATATTTTTCAGCTGATTCAAGTCTCACCTGTCAGGCTTCCCCTCCACTCCCTGCCTTCCAGGCCATCCTCGGAACTCCAAGACTCAAAATTTGGACCCCTGCCCCTGCTTGCAGGCCATTCTGCTGGCCATGCCTCTGTTGACAAACCCCTGTCTCTTGATGTGACCTCAGCTCTCTGGGAAGACCTTTTTTGGTTGTTTCCTACAGAAATTCTGGGACAGCCTCTGAAATCTGCTTCTTCCTCAGGGAATACCTCCTAGGCTGGCATGTTATAGGCAGGGAAGACTTGTGGGTGGGATGCTGTGAGACTCCTGAGTGCTGAGATTCTGGGAAACCTGCATTTTGGCCCCTGTGCCACCCCTTCTGTTTGTTCATGAGAGCAAGATAGAGAATCCTGGGTAGGAATTCTGGCCTGGAGGAGTCCTGCCATGCCCTCCCCCCCAGCAGAACATTTGCCAGCACAGTGCCCTTGACCCTGGATCAGCCCACATAGCTGTGGATAGATCACTTGGCAGATAAGGTCTGCACTTCAGGGCTGGTGACCCTACAGGAAGGCAGTGACCACCCATCTTTCCAGCCTGCTCAGTCCCGGCCTAGAAGGGAAAAGTATCTGCTGAGGATACACATGAGGACCACACATGCGAAGTCAGCTTCTGAGCTCCTTGTCTGCCTAAACCCCTGCTGGATTGGGGAGCAGAAGGTGGGAGGAAAGCCATCATACTTCTAATCGTGCCCCATCCTAATACCCTCTGTCTGCCAGGTCCTCCCCTCTGCCTTCTTGCCTGTCCGCCCCTTGAGCTTGGTTGGACCCAGGTCTGCCCTGGGCCCTCTCTACCCGCTCCCAAGCCATGGCCAGTCTGGCCAAGGAACAGGCAGCTTCTGGAGCAGCTCTTAGGCCAGGCCTGGCTCAGCCATCCCTCCAGGTGCCCCCTCATGCCTGCTTCCTTACCAGCAATACCCAGGGCAAGATGGCAGCTACCACAGCCACCACGGCGATGAGAGTGATGAGCAGGAGGGCCCGTGAGCGGCAGCAGAATGAGCGGGTGGAGCTGGGTGCTGGGGAGACCTCCGAGAGCTCGGCCAGGCTGCGCCTTGGCAGCACACTGTCCTGCTCCCCCAGGGGCATCCCATGGCGGCTGATGATGAAGACCTGTGACTCTCGGGGTAGGCTGGGCAGCAGGTCCAAGGGGAGCTGACTCTGACCTGGGCTTCCCGGCAGCCTCGTCTGGCTCGAGGATGGTCTCCAGACAGGCTGGGAGACAGCCAGGGGGTTTGTGTGGCCCAGATTGTCTGGTGGTAGCACAGAGGGCAGGCCCACGGGCACAGCCAGGGTCTGGGAGCTCTTGTCAAGCATGGAGGGCCAGCGGGAGCTCTTCTTGCTGAGGAAGGTGACATAGCGGCAAATGGGGCAGACGATGGTCCTCTGGACCTGTCCATCCACTCTGGTGGAGAGCAGGTACTTGACAAGGCAGTCATGGCAGAACACGTGGCCACAGCTTAGTGTCCGACTGGCACCCTCTAGGTCTCGGAACTTCTCATAGCACACCGGGCACTCGCTGCCCGAGCTGTCCTTGCTCTCTCCTTCTGACATGGCACTCAGAGAAGGCAGGGCTTAGCTGTGGGCGGGAAGGGTTGTGAACATCAGGACCTTTTCGCCTCCTTCCCTCCCCCTTCCCAATTCCCATCTACACCTCTCTCTCCTCTGCCTCCTTGTCTTCTGCCTCTTCTTTCTTTTCTTCAAATTCTTTCCTCTTGCTGCTCCTCCTCAGTGGCCTACCTGAATCAAACCAAGAGACTGAAGACCTAGAGCCTAAGATCCTTAGAAGGAGATGAACAGATGCTTCTGGAAGGGGGTATCGGGAGACAGAACAAGAGGGCCTAGTCACACTGGACCCTGGGAGGAGGTGTGTGGAGTGTGACGAAGAGTACCTGAAGTTCCTGATGCCTCACCTCAACCATGACATGCACACATGGTGAGGTCACCACCTCCTGCTTCCTGGTTCAGTGCCGGAAGTGAAGGCAGGGAGACCCTGTTCCCAAGGCAAACAGGTGACTAAGAGCACGTCCAGCCTCCAGTCCAGTCTCCAATTTGAGCCTATACCCAGAATGACCATTTTCCAGAAAAGCCTCTGCTATTCCTCAACCTTTCTCCTCAGTTGGGGTTGGTGGATCCATTGGATTTCCGCCAGCCATTGGATTGCATTCCTCTGCACTAAGTGCACCTATAAAGCAATGACTGTTTTAAAAATAAAGCTCAGAACTTACACATCCAAATACCTGCTGGCTCTTTGCATAGTCACGTCAGGGAGCTGTGGGATCTTTCTTCCATCTGCTACAGCTCAGTCATTCTCCAGATTCTTCTTATAAAGCTGCCTGAGGCAGTGAGAGAACCTTCTGATTAACCTTGGTGAAGGCAGATTTTCATCCTTTGAAGATGTGTCTGAGATTTTGGAAATGACCAAAAGTCAATGGTAGCCAAGTCTAGTGAGAAAGTAAATGAGTGATCAAATGGCATGATATTGTTTGAAATCAAAGATATAAATGAGCAAAATGAGTTTTAAACAGTATCTGAGAGCAAAAAAGAGTTCTTGGATTAAGTACATGGCTTCCCAAGTTGGTGACTTTGAAGGGAAACACCTGCTTGGATATGTGGTGAGGCCCAAGTGTCCTCGTTTAGAAGTCACCAGCATCACAACTAACCTAAACATATATAGAAGAGCCTCTCTAGAATGAACCATGATTCCTTGTTATTGACATATTCTTTCATCTGTGGCAGAGACAAAAGACCCGGGGATACACTGACAATATAGAGCTGTGTGGTGACCCCAGACCTGAGGGATGACTTAATGGGAACAGGATCGGTTCATAGGAAGGATAAACTATCAAGATCACAAATCTTTCAGAATCTCTCCCTTCTCTTGGCTTGGTTCCAAGACCATTTTTGACAAATTAAAGATGTCCCATAACTAAGAAAGAGCAAAAACATGTGGAGGTAGGGATAGGAACCCTGGGACCCTGAAGGTAGCACCAAAACCTTTGCAGGAGTCTCCAGCTTTGGCCCCTGAGGTGGTAAGTGTGACCCCCAGGGTAGGGGAAGGAAGGTTCAAATCCTTGATATACCCGTTTCTGTCTATATAACCTTGGCCAAGTTGTTTAACCTCTCTGTGCCTCAGTTTCTCATCTGTAAGATGAAGTTGGCTGGGCTTGGTGGCTCAGCCTGTAATCCCAGCACTTTGGGAGACAGAGGTGAGTGGACTGTCTGAACTTGCGGGTTCGAGACCCACCTGGGCAACTTGGCATGACCTTGTCTCTACAATAAATAAAAAACTAGCCGGGCGTGATAGCACATGCCTGTAGTTCCAGCTACTTGGAAGGCTGAGGCAGAAGGATCACTGGAGCCCAGCAAGTTGAAGCTGCGGTGGCCGGGAGCGTGCCACTGCACTCCAGTCTGGGCGATGGAGTGAGACTCCAAGTCAAAAAAAAAAAAAGATGGAGTTGATAATAATGATACTACCTTCCTCTCAGAGTTGTTGGAAGTATTAAGTGAATTAATGTGAGTGAAGAGTCTGACACTCAGTAAGTGCTCAGTAGATGGTTGGTGTCATTATTAAGACGGGCAAAGTCCCTCTCCCCTCTTCTCCCAAAAGGAACATGGAGACCCCTGCCATGACTCTTGAAGCAGTCTGGCATCTGCCTTCCCTTCCTTCCCTCTCACCCCCAAATGTTCCTTATTATGTGGATGACTAAAAAAACACACCCTCTTGTCAGAGGGCAACTCACCTCAAGTTAGAGTAACTGAAGAAGATGACACTATATTAGGTAAGTGATGGGCAATGGATAAAAATTAAGATGGTGATTCCAGTGTTTCTTAGTAGTTTTCATTTCATTATGCATTTGCAAATGTCTAAACTAAACAGGAGTTATTATCAGGATGATCATGATCTTAAGCCCATCAAGTACTAGTATATTCTCCTGAATTTCATAACTTCCCACAGATATATGATGGCAAGCAATTCCTTCCATCTGTCCATCCATCCATCCATCCATCCAATAATTCAACAGATATTTACTGAGCACTTGCTATATGCTAGGTACTAAGCTTACACATTAGAGATAAGTAGTTGGTCAAGGAAGTTCTTTATGAAACTTTAGAGCCTAGTGGACACATAAATTTCTTGAAAAAGATTTCTTAGAAGGATTATGATTAATAGCTTAAATTGTTTGGATAATCGAAAGTAGGGATCAGAGTAGACAAGAGAATAAGAGTAAATAAGAGAATAAGAGAATACTAGGGGGAAGGAAGGACTTTGGAGATCTTTTTTTTTTTTTGAGTTGGAGTTTCACTCTGTCGCCCAGACTGGAGTGCAGTGGCCGCTCCCGGCCACCGCAGCCTCAACCTGCTGGGCTCCTGCGATCCTTCTGCCTCTGCCTTCCAAGTAGCTGGAACTACAGGCGCGCGCTTCCACGCCCGGCTAATTTTTTAAAAAAATTTATTGTAGAGATGAGGTCTCACCAAGTTGCCCAGGCGCGTCTCAAACCTGCGGGCTCAGACTCACCTCAGTCTTCCAAAGCGTGGGATTACAGGCTGAGCCACTGAGCCCGGCTTTTTTTTTTTTTTTTTTTGAGGTGGAGTCTCACTCTGTTGCCCAGGTTGGAGTGAGTGGCATACTCATGGCCACACCAGCGTCGATCTGCTGGGCTCTGGTGATTCTTCCACCTCAGCCTTCCAAGTAGCCGGAACTACAGGCACACGCTACCATGCCCAGCTAATTTTTGATTTATTGTAGAGATGTGGTCTCGCCAAGTTGCCCAGGCTGGTCTTAAATCCGCAGGCTCAGGCAATCCATTCGCCTTGGCCTCCCAAAGTGCTGGGATTATAGGCTGAGCCACGGAACCTGGCCTGGAGATCATTTAAGCTGTGTAGATGAGCAGATCTAGGTCTACAGAGAGGGAAGTGACTTGCCTGAGGTCACCCGGGAAGGTGACCTCCCTCCATCACACTCACATACCTTTGCATCATTCTAGCTGCTTCAGTCTGGAACATTGCCAAGCTCCATTCCTAGTCCCTCAGTCAAAACCCCAGACTCACTTTAGCTGAGACCACAGAAAGCAGCATCCGCTTTTCCACCTGGGGCCCCCACAGAGCAGAACTGAGCCACCCAGAGGTGCCAGGTAGGAGAGCCTCTACTCCTCTGAGTTTGAGGAAAAGTAAAAAAGATCCAGGGAGTGCAAAAGACATCCTAGGCCCCCACTGACATCTCTGGGCAATCCTTCCTCCTTCGTGTGCTTCAGGAGAGCCATGCCATTCATACCTGGACAATGCTACCTCCTTCCCCACCTCCTTCTCACCTCCCTTTCTCAGTCTTTCCTGACCCCTCCCTCCTTGCGTCTCTCCTTTCTCTGAATTCCGCTTCAGTCTCCAGCCGTGAGTTCCTCTTATAGCCTCATTCTGTCTTGGGTAGAGGGAATGGGCAACAGAAGAAATACAAAGAACATGCTCTAGTTTGGGCACACACTGGTTAAATAACAATAGAATAAATATGCCCAAAACATTCCCCATTGGTGCCTTAGGAAACTGGGGGAAGAGGAGGGCTGGAAAGTCTTCCTAGGTGAGGTAGAACCAGTGTTGAGCCAATAATAAATAATTATAACAGCAACCATTTATTGAATCCTAATTACGTGCTTGGCATTTTGCATTCTTTCCTCATTTAATCCTGACAACAACTCTGGGAGGTAGGTATTATCTCCATTTCACAGATAAGGGAACTGAGGCTCAGAGCTAAAGTTAAGTAACTTATTCAAAGTCACACTGCTAGTATAGCAGTGCCTCTGTGGAGGGCATTCCAGACTTTAGTCAAAGGAGTAGATGAAGTACTGATGCAAAAATGACCCTATATAGGGCTGCCCCTTTGGCTACCTATGGTAGGGGGAAGACGATGGCTGGCCCAAGAAAGCTGACCTTGTGGAGTTGCAATACCCAGCCTCCCCCACCGCTGCAATCCATCTTGACGACAGGGTGAGGGAGGGCGGTGGGTATTCTAAGCCCAGAGAAAGTACCCTCTCCCAGGACAGTGAGCCTATGAGAAAGAGTGACACTTGCAGGCACCCGAGTTCCCTCCTGGAGCCCCAGTGCAAGACCTTATAGCTTCAGCCATGACTACTTCCTCACCCACAGGTACCTCTGTGTCTGTGTCTCTGTCTGTCTCTTTCTCTCTCTCTCTCTTTCTCTCCCTCCTTCCTTCCCTCCCTCACACTCACATATCCCTGCCTCATTCCTGCTGCTTCAGTCTGGAACATTGCCAAGCTCCATTACCATCCCCCCAGTTGGAACCCCAGACTTACTTCAACTGAGACCAGAGAGAGCAGCATCCACCTTTCCACCTGGGGCCTCCGCAGAGCACAACTGAACCACCCAGAGGTGCCAGGCAGCAGCACGATCTCCTGCCGCTGCTGTCACTGTGACGGTTGCCGCGGAGGCATTTCCTAATGACAGAGCAGGTCGGGAGGACAGCGCAGGGAAGTGAATGTCGCCCAACCCGTTTGAGGCCAGGAGGCTCTTGGCGTTACCCAGAGGTTTGGCAGCTGCAGGAG